CCCCAAAACCCCAAAACCCCAAAACCCCAAAACCCCAAAACCCCAAAATTTAAATAATTTATTGAATGGATTTAACCAAAGTAAGCTCACTACTAAAGTATATAGGCTAATCGGCAGCAAGGTATTTGTCCCTTCTAGTTCAATACATCTTAGCGTGCAGCCAAGATTCCTGTAACCAAGCTTATAGAGCAGGCACCAAGGCAAAACTGTACAAGCAAGTTTACTTGGAACCATAAAGCCATTGAAACCTGTAAATAAGCTCAACAGCAGTCGAAGTACAACTCTTGGCTTTATTTATCTGTAGAACGCATCCGGATTAGCATGAGAGAAGTGGAGTGCCTTCTTAGCAATAAAGGAGGCCTTGTTAACCCCTTCGGGCCTGGGTTCCAGTTTAGTACCAGACCAAGCATCGCCAAGCAAAAGTTTGACTATAAGCAAGTCTGGAAAGAAGTAATTGCCATTATTCATACCTAGGTGTATAAGTATACCCAGGGAGAGTCTCTTGCGAAGGGACTTCCAATCACAGATTATATTATTCAGGAGAACCTGAAGAAAGACATCATTTGCCACATCAAACTTTTGAGTAATGCGAAACATCTGTTGTTCCAGGACAAAGAAATGTTCAGAGATTACCTGGCTGAGGTATTCATTGATCCTCTGCTTCCGAAAGCAGAGTGGAACAATAAAATAAAATAACCTCGTTATGGAATTACAGTAACAGTCTTAGTAATAATATAACTAGACATCTTATTAAGGATGAAGAGTTCTTTCAGGAACTCAAATAATGTAAGCTATGAGGCTGTGCTAGATTCGAACTTACATTACAATAGGACAAGTTCCCGATGACAAAGAAAGCAGAGAAGAAGCTCAAAGGCTTACTGGCAGCTCAAGATCTCAATGATTGTCAAAGTACTTTTGGATGTCTACTCCAATACAGAAAGCAGTCTTTCCCCAACCAAGAGGAAAGGTCCTACAAGGGCAAACAGCTCAAACACATTAGTGTCTTTTGTTGAGTTGTCAATGAAGAAGAAAATAGACTCAAACAGTTTCAAGAGATCAAAGCACAAGTAGGCCTTGTCTGAACGACCATTCATAGGGTTGAAACATTAACCAAGAAGAAGATAGTGAGGTTACTGTTTACCATAGATCAAACGATTCTTCAACTCAAAAGCATTTCTCAAGCACCAAGAACGGTTTGGCAATCTCCTGGATGACTCTAACTCATTTGAACGGTTCAATGCCTATAAGAGAACCAGCTTCCTGACCACGTTCAGCAGCCAAGCTGATATGGCTCAGCGTAGTAGGCTAGCCATATAAATTATAGAGAAAATGAAGAAACATAAAGGTATTTATTAATGCTATTTCAGGCAAGAAAATGACAAGTTCATCCAAAATCAGAGACAAACAGCCCAGTAACCTCAAAAGCCTCAAGAAAAATTGTATATTCTGCATAACTCCTAGTCTTTAGAGATGTCAGGTCACAAGGAGGTCCTCGGAATGACAAGTAAGTGCAGTTTCTGATTATCTCTTAGAAAAACTCTTGGAAAGAGTCGCTTTAATAAGTCTTTCAAGTATGGTAAAGAGAAGGAAAAGACGATGGATCATACAATTACTCAAACTCCTAAGAAAAAAAAACCGTATGCTTCCGTTCCCTATCTCTTCTTTTCTACTTTACTTTGATGTTTGACACATTAGGTATGCACTCACTCAAAAGTTCCTGAGGAGCAAAGAAATCATCCAGAATCAAGGCATGATTTTACGGCTAAAGCCAAGGCTACGAACAGGGTACAACCTGGGACGTTCAGAGAAGCCTAAGAGGTACACCAGTCCTAGAACAACCACATTTCCTAAGCCAGGAAACCTGCAGAAGATCATCAGCACAATGAAGAGGGTCAGGTCGCCGGAAGTGCGATTTGGGAGGTAAACAATCTATCTATCTTTAGCTTGCACAATTTCTTTGATCAACGAAAAGACCGTACAATGATGTCTCCTCAGAAATGGGTAGGCTCTTCCTTGGCTCATCCATAGGACTTAACAAGTTTCGCAAAGGTGAATTTGAAGGAATCCAAAGACAGAAAGCGGCTTTTAGGTATGATCCAGAGCAAGCTGAGAGATTTGTAATCAGAAAATTCTTGCACTCTAAGATATTCAAGATCAATATCTGGCAACACTTCAGGGGTTTTGGGGTTTTGGGGTTTTGGGGG